GAAGTCGCAGATCAGGTCGGATTGATGTTGTTTCATGCACCGTCTGTCGCCCGCGGAGTGGGAAGCTGCCGTGCTGTGGTGGCCATTGAGAGGATAAGACCCCTGCCAGTTCGACGTTAAGATGGACGTGGAGTCCCAAGTCGTTATGGCACGCAGCACTTATCCCTCTACGTAATCTGGAAGGCGGGCACCTAACCTCGTCGTCCAGTGGGCAACAGCAGCCTCCTGGCGGGTGCTGCAGCAGTGCACCTACCTACCTCAGTGAGCTGTCGAATCAGTACGTACCTATCTCATCAGTGTGTCTGGTCTGTGCTCTCAGAGACCCACTCCAGCGGCTGCTTGGCAAGAGAACGCGACCTGGGAACTATGGCGCAGAGGCTAAAAAAATTGGTAGAGGAAGCTCCATCAATTCCCGATAGAGCTTCTTTCCTTCGATATTTACTCCGTCAACGAATCCTCCGCCCGTTGCCTCCCCCCGGTCATTCAACCATCTCCCAGCTCACAAAGCGCAACGTTGTGAACCTGAGCACAAACCCCATCAGCTCTCATCGTCACTATCAGCTCCGACTGCTGTAGACCGAAAGCCAAACCTTCCGTCCGCTTTTCCCCAAGTTCCAGAAAAAAAGATGTCCCAGACTTCCACGATAGTGACGGCATCAGTCGCCGCCGCCGTTACCGGCTTGGTTGGTGAGTCTGCCTCAACACCTCGACGCACCCCGATATCACAATTCTCCCTTTGCCAATTCCACAATAGGACCGAGGGACCAGTTTAATTGGAGCCGCGTTTGCTAACGTTCGTCATCAAAGCGTACGCCGCCTTCTTCGACTACCAGCGACGCAACAAGGCTGAGTTCCGGAGAGAACTGCGTCGAAACGAGCGCCGTCAGCACAAGGCTGAGAAGGAGTCGGCCCAGCAGGAGACCGTCCGACAAAGGCAAGCCATCAAGGAGGCCGTCGATGAGGCCAAGGAAGAGGGCTTCCCTACCGACGTTGAGCAGAAGGAGGCATACTTCCTCCAGCAGGTTTCCGAGGGAGAGACGCTGTCCGCCGACCGTTAGTCCAACCCCTATGCGAGAAGAAATACCCGGAATGAGGCGAGATGGCTCAGCTTACTGACAACTGTTGATGTTACAGCCACGCGCGCTGTTGAAGCCGCGCTTGCGTTCTACAAGGGCCTCAAGGTCTACCCTACGCCTGGTGACCTGATCGGCATCTACGACAAGACCGTTCCCAAGGTAAGAGACCTCCTTGGATCCCCGGAAAATTGCTACAGCATTTGATCTGAAACTGATCTTATATCTAGCCCGTCCTTGACGTTCTCGCCGAGATGATCGCCTACGACTCCTCTCTCAACATTGGCCAGTACCAGGGTGGCGTCAACGTTGACCTCGGCGGCATGCCCACCGTCGGCCTGGACTAAAAGATCTTCGTTTTGACGATGTAGCTCTCACCATAACGAGTTCCCCTCCACTCTCTCACATCCCCCAAAACCTGGACACACACATTCCGGCGCGCGCTCGCCTCCAAAGAATCCGCAGTCACTCCACCAATGGCGTGATGCTGCGAATCCACCACCCCATACGTAATCCCCCGGCATTCTGCGAGAAGAGGAAGGAGGAATTACGACTTTTCACTGTACAATACCTGGCCGGCTGGGGCTGTTTTGATAGAAGGTTTTTGTAAGAGGAAAGAAACCAAGTGTATATTGATGATCCCGGCAGGGACAAATAGGCAAGAAGATGAAGAAGATTCACGAAATTCCACAATTTCATAATGCGTGTGTATCTGGTCTCTTGAGAGCATGCAGCCGGCGCCTTTTTGATTTCCCGTTTGATGTACTCCTCTACCGAATAACCTAGGCCTCGATTTTCCTGCCCTTCCTGTCGACTCTGTCATCTCTGGGGTCGAAACCGCCTTTGCCCCAGGTAGCCCACTCGGGCGTCGCCTCGCCCATGTAATCCTCGGGCTTCCAGTCTCCGTCGGCGCCCCGCTCCTCCAGCAGCTCAAAGAAGCGCTGGTAGTCAATGCGCGGGTGCCACTTGCCATCTTTGTAGAACCGATCGCTCGCGAGCAGGACGCAGCAGCTGTGGGCGTGCTCTGCGGCGATGCCGTACTTGAGCCCCTTTTCGTGGAGCCTCTTCTCCAGCGCCGTGACGAACTCTTGGACTTCCCAGTAAAAGGGGACGTTGGACATGCTCAGGCCGGCGTTGGACGCTGTCGAGGTGCCGCAATAGGTGACGCCCTTGATCTCGACGAAGCAAGGGAGGCCCTTCTCCACGAGCTGCGCGTAGCCCTCGACCTCGTCGTCGACGTTGAAGCCCTTGACCAGGGTCAGGCGGAAGACGGTGCGGTGCTTGAAGCGCTTCTCTCTGAGGATGTCGAGACACCGCTGGAAGCGCTCCCAAAAGTCTCGGTGCAGGGGGCGGTCGATCTTTCGGAGGGACTCCTTGTTGGACGCGTCGATGGAGACGTACAGCTGCGTCACGGCCTTTAGGGCGGCGAGCTGGTCCGGGTGCTGGGCATTGCAGACCAAGAAGGAGGAGATGCGCTCGGCGTGGAGCATACCGAGGAACTCGTTGATGTAAGGGTAGAAGATGGGCTCGCCGACGAGGGAGAGGGCGCAGTGCCGGATGCGCATGGCCTCGGCGAAGCGCTCGGCGCGGACACCGGGTACGCCGCGGAGCATCTTGATCTTGTTGTAGTGGTTCGCCTTGACGCCATCAAAGATGAGCTCGGGCGGGTCGACGACCCAGCGCCAGGTCGTGCCGACGGGGTTGGTGCCGTGGCGCCAGCAGAAGACGCACTTGTTGGAGCACGAGAGCGACGGGGTCGTCTCCATACACTGGTGGGAGTTGATGCCGTAAAAGGAGTACTTGTAGCAGGAGCCGCGGCCGCGGAGGGCTGATTTCGTCCAACGGCAGATCTTGACGCCCGAGTGCGAGCCGACGATTGAGTAGCCCTGCTTCGTGAGCGAGGCGTACGTGGGCGAATTCTTGGGGACCATCTCCTTGGCGGCGTTAAGAGGGGTCTTCTTCGCGACCGTCTTGCCGTATGTTGTAAAGTCCACGGCTATAGGCGCTGCTGCTCCAGCCGTTGCCGTTGCCGATTTAGCTGCGCGGCCGTTTGTGGCTGCGTCGGGGTTGGAGCTCTTCATGATGCGCCCTAGGTCTTCGACGTCATCAATGTTCTTGCGGCTCTTGAGCTTCTCGGGCTTCACTTCGGAATCCTCGATCAACACCTCGTCGTCGTCTTCAGCTGCAGACTCATCGTCACTTTCCTCAGGGGCACCGCTTCCTGGGAGTCCTTCTCCCAGGCTGCCAGTCTTAGCCAGCATGCCGAGAACATCGACGACGCCCTCGGACCATTCAGACAAGCGTTCAGTGTAGTCTCTCTTCGTGTCGCCCATTCCGACAGGGAAGGCTCTCTTCCGGCCCGTCAGCTTCGCCATCCACTTATCGACCTGCTTGGCCTGGAAACAGAATCCATCCTCTTCCGTCGGCCAGCCCTCCCTATCACCAAAGCCAAAGACGGAATATCCGAGCAGCGAGGACAACGGCGCGGTGTCGATACGGAAGTCGTGGTGGGTCTCCTGAAGGTGCTCCAAGAAGGTGTCGTTGATGGTGTCGATGTTGTAGCTTGGCAGGAGGAACAGGTAAAAGAGATCCGCGGGGTCCTCTTCCGACTTGGGCGGGGTGATGAAATAGTCGTCAAAGTCGACCTCGGCAAGATCCAGCACCTCGGGAGCCATGAACGAGCAGTCGGTCTCCGCAGCGACCTTTTGCAGCTCCTTCTCCAGACCCTCTGCATACTCCTTTGCGATCTTGGGCGTGTTTGCGGTGATGCTTGAAAAGAAGACCAGAGGCCTGACCTTGCGGACCAGAGCCTCTCCCTTTGCGTCATTAGAAGAAGTTCGCTTGACGATTCCGCCTTTTATCCTTTTGGGTCCGTTCGACTTTGGCGTTTTCGACTCGACAGTAGGGCTCGGGGGGCTTGGTTTGACATCCTTCTGCTTCGTCTCCTCCACAGGCTTCGTCTCGGGCTTCTCTCTATTGTAGGCCTTGGGCAGGGCCTTCAATTCGCTCTTCTCTTCGATAGAATGGAGGTAGAAGCGCAGAATCAAGAGTCCAAAGGCCGTGACCAAGATCACAGGTATGCGAACTTGCTGCCAAACATCGTGGACGTCTACGCGCAAGAAAAGCAGAATGAGCGGTTGAACGAGAAACAGGGGTGGCGGGAGGCACCAAAGGCAAGAAGAGCCAACTCACCGTTCAACATGGCCTTTAAGCCTACGGGCTGAAGAGTGGAAGCCATTGGTGCTGCGACGGAGCGCGGTGCTCGAAGACGAGCTATGCGCGGATTGTTTCGTCACTTTTTGGAGGAACGCGCCTTGAGGTTGTGATTTCTTCCAAGTTGCATATGAGCAGTGGCGGGGTGTGCGAAATGGGCTTTGACCAGTGGGTGCGAGCGCAATTGCAATAATTATTTCAAGTGTCAAACTTTCCCAGTGGCTGACCTGGGTGTTTAGTGGTGCCCCGCCAAAGAAATTTAGGCCTGGCCCTGCACCTCATCGACCCCGCCATTAGCGTCTTTGGGGTTCCCCGGTTGCTGACCATCGGCATTGAATGGCACCTCGGCCGACTGGACGGCATCTCAAGGTGAGAACACCATGACTAAGACAGGAGCCCGCCTTTATCGAGAAGCTGTTTGTAAAAATTAGGTTGAAGTTAAATTCTCTAAACGATTTAGGCTTGTGACTCGAACCGAAATCTACGTGTTGCGCTTGAATCATATTTCAATGCTGCTGGATACATAATAGATGCCTACACGGCTGATGGTGGATATCACACCAGATTAATCACTAATATGTACTGGTCAAGAGACCGCACGGGAGCTTGACTGGTGTAAAGGAAATAGACCCAGTTGTGCCCATGGAGGCAGCCATTTGCTCAGCATGAGACTAAGTCGCTGTTGATTTTAGTTTTTCACGTCGATCCAGTTGCTCAAACTCTTCTATCCGATCCTGCCTGCGCTTGCTTGTCTCGGATATCCTTCAGGCACGGCGCAAAGAAAATTTCCCCAGAAATAGCCTGATGAAGTGTTCTCACCGCAACCAGCAGCCAGAGGAAGCATACAGAGAGCGAGAAGATCTGCCAGGAGAGATCAGCAAAACCGGACGGATAATCATCGACAGGCACGAGAGGGAGACAAACCATGGTCATGACCCTGAAAAAGGGGCTGTCCAAGTCCTGGGCCAGCATGCCGGTGCAGGTCGCCAACACGCCCAGCGGGAACGTAAACCCCCACCAACCCATGTTGAAAGGAATCTTCTCCATTGTAGCAAGGCTGATAAGAGCAAACGACAACCAGACGAGGGCGAAGCCCCACATGACGAGCGCCAGGAAGAGTCCGATAAAGTAGAGAATCTCTCCGCCGTGCACCGCCTCCGGAGCCGCCGCTGTCAGAGCCGCAGTCTGGGGGAAGAGCTTCAGGGACACCTTTCCGAGCTGCTGGATGCCGAAGCCGCCCTGGCCCAGGGGTCCGATGGGCAGGAACACGGAGACGATGGCCTCTTTGGGCGGGAGGCTGTGGATCGTCAGGCGGTGGAAGTAGAGCGCGAGGACCATGCCCGAGAAGCAGATGCCGATACCCCAGAGAACGTAGGATGCGATCAGGGTTGTGAAGGCGTGAGATGGGTTTGAGAGGGCCTCGGCGACGATGCCGCCAGTTGAAGATGCGACTACGACTGGCACAATTGGGAGAAGACTTGCGGCTGTTACTGCTTGAAGTCCCGGACGGTGTTGATGAATCCTTCGGAACATGGTTGATCAGTCTCGAATTTGAATGTTGTGTGGTGAGGTCACTTACATGACGAATGGCACCGAAATGCATGTTGCCATTGACAGAGCGGCATCAAGCCACCAAAATGCCCATGCCCAATTCACCACCCACTGGCCCCAGGCAGGTGCACACACAAATATCATCATGTTGATTATGGCTGGCCACAGAGATTAGTATATCCTGTGGTGTGGGGAGAACTTCGCGACTAACTGGCAAACCCCATAGGGAAACAGCCAAGAAACATGGACTGGGCAGGGTGTACAACCATGGCCTTCCAGATCTCGGGGTACAATGCGTACCGCAGCACTGTGATGACGGTGAATACGGTAAACAGAGCGATGTTGAGCACGAAAAAGGCACCGGCAAGACCATGTGAGATCCACGTTGCGTTGTAAGGCAGGTTGTGAAGGAGAACTGAGACTATCCCCGTTCCCATTGTAACCGCAAACCATCTGCATTATGTTAGACACACTTTAGTTCATCATTGCCTCTCGAAAGTTTGCTTACGAGGGTGTGAAGTTCCTGACAATTCTCCTCCAACCTACGTTTTCCTTATTACAAGGCGTACATGGGGTCGGGGCATCTTGACAAGAACTTTGTTGCGCTCCCGACTGAATTGTCGAGGTCGCGCTAACAGTTGCCATAGCCTAGAAGAGCACCTAAGAGACCAGATGACTTCAACAAAATTCTGTTCCTGAATCTGCCTATTGGTGGCTGAACAACTCAATGGCGATTTCTTTCTGTTACAGAAGATGTAGCAAAATAATTGACAAGAGTTCACCCGCGCAACAATGAAGAAGGAATTTCAGGGCGGCAAGTGTCCCTATGACTCTGGCTCTCTTACCTAAGGTTAAGCCGTTTCCTAGCGTGAGTAATCTAGACGAACCCATTCTGGTAACTAGCCCCACACCGGATCCGCTCAGCTGACTCTGAGGCGGTGCGGCTATCGGCCAACGCCGGCAGCGATCCACCCGTTCAACTGGCAAGATGAGAATTTCATGTTGTCAAGAATTCGTTTTGATATCAAAAATCTGCATGAAAATCTCTTGACTAGATATAGTCCCGTGAAACTCTAACAAGGCCCATCTCGTCTGGTGTTTGGCCATCTGACCCCCAAAAGTATCGGAGCTCACCGTCGCCTATCAGCGGCTTTGCCGGGATCCCTCGACCTTGGTAAAGTAGGTTATCTCGTCCAACCAGAGGAGCCTATTGTTGGAGACCAGTCCACCAGACGTCAAATTGGTCGCCGACTAATTGTCCGCTGCGCTCTGGCAACGTGGACAGATTGCCCTGTCTCAAAGAGAAAAGTCAGGACCGACGAGACGACCCACCCGCCGAAGTCGGATCATCCAGTAGTTCCGCCAGGCCCGCCCGTTTCCATCAGGTAATGCCAGCCAGGCCCGGTCACCGGGTAGATTCGTAACACCGACGAGCAAAAAGAGTCCAGCCCCCCCGCACGACACATTCCCAACAGAACCATCCAAAGCAACAATCGTCCAAGCACCACCACCAACAACATCACCAACTTGATAGCATTCCATAGCAACCATGGCCGTCGATATCCTGACCAAGATCACCTCCGCCTTCGGGCATAACCTCAAGACCGATGTCAATCGGTTCGACGAGCTCGTATTGGGATTGAAGGAGGCGCTTGGCCCGTCGTCGGGACTTGATTCGGCAGACGTCGATGTCAACGAGTTGATGAAATTAATGGAAGAGTATAACACAACGGAAAGCGAATGGGTACAATTTGCATTCGCCGAGAAGAGCATGGGATACACCCGCAACCTTGTTGACGAAGGCAACGGCAAGAGCAACCTGGTGAGTCAACGCGTGGCCACGACTTCGTGGCATCAGGTAGTAGTATCATGGCTAATGCCACACAGCTTGTGCTTGTCTGGTCGCCAGGCAAGGGAAGCCCCATCCACGATCACGGCAATGCGCATTGCCTGATGAAGATTCTGAAAGGCGATCTCACTGAGATCCGCTACGCCTTCCCAGAAGGCAACGAAGAACAACCAATGCAAATCATCTCTGAAAGAACACACAAGGAGAATGCGGTGGCATATATGGCAGACGAACTTGGCGTCCACCGAGTCTGCAACAAGGGCAGCGACTTCGCTGTCTCCCTTCACCGTAGGAATTACCTCGCCGTCTCTGCCGTAACATGACTGACCACTTCGTAGTCTACACCCCTCCCAACGTTGCCAAGGGTGGTTGCAACATCTTCAATGAGAAGACGAGCAAGAGGAGCCATGTAGCCAAGTGCGGCTACTACTCGGCGTACGGCCGCCGACTGCCGAAGCAGTAAATGGTGATGGTGTCGATGTTCTTTTCTCGTCCTGGGCGTTTGCGTATTTGGCTTCGATGACAATCCGAACTTGGATTTATCCTGTTTGATATACAATTGAGGGATGCCGAGAGCCGCAGAGCGCTTGTCGGTAGACTGATGAATGATGATGGCATGAATGCTCTATCCACCGTATATAGTGGATAGATACCGTCGGCGAGCTCAACCTGCCGCGTTTCCGTATGTTTTTGGGTACCATAAGATAGCAAATTCATCACAGAATTAGCTGAGACAAGAAAATATGAATGAAGTGAGGTTGTGAAGGTGCAAGAGCCGCAGAGTCGTCGTCGTTGGCCAGAGACCACCCAGACGGGCCCGGAGGCAGGTCACGTGAAATGTCGTGATTTTGCAACTCACGGTGATTGGTTTGTGTGGGTCTTTTTGACGATGGCGTGCTTGCACGAGGTGACCAGATGGAGAATGACTCAGCCACAGGCTTGCATCTTTTTAGCCACAGCACCAGCCTCATGCTGCTGGTGTAAGAGAATCCCTGTGTCGATCCCATCACTCCGGGTACGCGAGAGACGCGTCTATCGCGTCTGGTTCGATTTGTGAGAGGTCCCAATTGTCCTACCCAGTTTCGGCACGCCAGATCTGGAATCGTTCGGTACCAACCTGTCACTTTCCCTTAGCTGACAGCTTTCCCCAATCCGCTCTTTTGTTTCACGAATTAGTACCCATCCGGCCCCAGAGCCCGGGGGCTCGGACATTGAGGATGCCACCCAAGAAGCGCAGCATCGCTGTCATCGACCTTGTCAGTAGCGATGGCGAAGACTCATCCGTCCAACGACCCAGCAAAAGGCCGGCTAGCCATCGCTTGGGCCCCAGTCCAGCCAGCGGCAGGGTTTACGGAAATACCCCATCAAGCTCCCAGCCCCATTTGAGCTCAGGTGCTCTTGCTCCTCGCTCTTCGACTCAGTCTATTGACAACGATGACGACCTTGTCGATTTGACCCAAGCTCCGGATGGCCCACCAAGAGAACTTTATGGGATTCTCGGTACGGCATTTGGGCGTTTCGTAGGGGTTTTCCCAGTATGCTGATCCGATATTATAGACAACAAGATTGTCGGCGTTCGCTACTACAATGGATATGCCTCTGCAGGCGAGGTGGTCGTATGTATGAGAGAACCCAGTAATCAGGTACTAAATCACAACTATCACAAGCTCAGAGAATCCTTTTCCAATTTGAGCTTCCGTCTTTGCCGTCAGATGTCTAACATGACCATAGTATGATCGCAATGCCATCCGAGTGTGTAACGTCATGGGCGCCCAGATCGGCCATCTTCCACGCAAAGTAGTTGAAAAGCTAGCGCCATATGTTGTACGTACTTTGATCCAACATTGTAATCGTTACTAAAACCTGTGCTAGGATCGGGATGAGATCGCAATAGAAGCTATTCTTACAGGGGAGAAGGGCATGTTTGACTGCCCCATTCGTCTACAGCTCTATGGTTCGAGCAACCCAGTCGACCGCTCGGCGTTGGAGGACAAGCTAAAGAAGGACAAACTGCTCAAGGCTAGAGAACTTAAGCAGACGAGAGCCGAGGCAGAAGCGCAGAGAAAGATGCTAGGCATCAAGGGCAGCCAGTCTACAATTGGTTTGAACCCTGCTGAGCCAGAGGTGTCTCTGGAGGACCTGGCCCAAGCCAGTCAGGCAATTTCGAGCCGTCCACGCGGTGATGCTGTCAAGTCGCTCGTAATGGACGAGCACTTCTTGTCCAAAATGCCGATGGCAGAGCAGCCCGCCGTTCTTGAGTCGACATTACTGCCATACCAATTACAGGTGAGCCCTCTCGAGCTTTATGCATGCTGGTCTACGGGCTACAAGCCCCTTCCCCCTCAATTTATACGTATCGAGAGTTTTCAGGGTTATAATGCACTTTGACTGATCGTGACACAGGGTCTGGCGTGGATGACGTCGAAAGAGAACCCCCAGATGCCTCCTAAGGGCTCTCAGGAGAGTGTCCAACTGTGGAAATGGCACCCGAACGGCCGTAACTTGTACCACAATATGGCCACGAACTTCGTGGTACAGAGTGCACCCAAGCTCCTTTCGGGTGGCATACTAGCGGATGACATGGGTCTTGGCAAGACTTTACAAGTCATCAGCTTGATCTTGACTGGAGGGGGCGGTCCGACGCTCATCGTTGCTCCGTTGAGCGTCATGAGCAACTGGGATCAACAGATCCGCAAGCATGTCAAAAAGGAGCATCTGCCCAAGATCTTTACCTATCATGGAAATAACAAGGCCACCAAGAATGAGTTGGCCAAGTATCAAGTTGTCATCACCAGCTACAACAAGCTTGCCCAGGAAGGAGGCCAGGAAAAGGCCATCGCACCTTTACCACCCCTTATCGCCACAAATTGGACTCGCGTTGTACTTGACGAAGGTCACACGATCCGAAACGCAAAGACCAAGGCTGCCATAGCTTGTCGAAAGCTCAACGCTAAATCCAGATGGGTCCTGACCGGAACTCCAATGTAAGTGTGCCGCGGATGGATTCAACCAAACTGAGCATACCCAGACTTACTGTCACTAGCATCAATAGTATCAAGGACTTCCAGTCCTTGCTTCAGTTCCTTGGAATCAACGGTGGCGTTGAGCAACCTGCCATTTTCACCAGCGTGATCGCACGGCCCCTTGCCCAAGGGAACGAGACGGCAGAGGCTCTCCTACAGCTATTAATGCGAGATCTCTGCCTGCGACGCAAGAAAGACATGAAATTCGTCGACTTGAAGCTTCCGCCCAAGACGGAATACGTCCACCGCATTGCCTTCAGGCCAGACGAGAAAAGCAAGTACGAAGCATTGCTGTAAGTCGCCCGTGTTACCACTTGAGGGACCAAGCTCATGCATCAACATAGGTCCGAAGCGCAAATTGCGCTTGAAAAGTACCAAAACAACACTGGCGAGAAGGGCCAGTTTCAAAGTGTACTGGAGCGCCTTCTCCGCCTTCGTCAGGTGTCAGTATTGCCCGCTCTTAATGAATCGGCTCTACCTAACATTCCCTTAGATGCAACCACTGGACGCTCTGCCGCAAAAGAATCTCCGATCTTCTTGAGGCCCTCGAAGGCCAATCTGTCGTTATTCTCAACTCGGAAAACACCAAGATCCTCCAAGAGGCGCTTCGTCTTTTTATTGAAACCCAGGAAGACTGTGCCGTTTGCCTCGATACTCTGAGCGGCCCTGTCATCACGCATTGCAAGCACGTCTTCTGTCGCGGCTGTATTTCAAAGGTCATTCAGACGCAGGGCAAGTGTCCCATGTGTCGTAACAAGCTCGATGAAGACGCGCTTCTGGAGCCCGCCCCGGAGGGCGGCGAAGAGGAAGATGGGAACTTTGATGCCGACGCGAAGAGTTCCAAGACCGAGGCTCTCCTCAAGATTCTACAGGCTACAACCAAAAATCCCGACTCCAAGGTCATCATCTTCTCGCAATGGACTTCGTTCTTGACTATTATTCAGAACCAACTCGTGGAGGCCGGCTACAAGTTCACCCGCATCGACGGCTCCATGACGGCGCCGAAACGAGACGCCGCCATTCATGCCCTGGACAACGACCCGGAGACGCGCGTGATGCTCGCGAGTTTGGCCGTCTGCAGCGTCGGTCTCAATCTAGTGTCGGCGGATACGGTGATTCTTGCAGACAGCTGGTGGGCGCCGGCCATTGAGGACCAGGCAGTGGATCGTGTGCACCGCCTGGGTCAGAAGAGACCTACAACTGTGTGGCGTCTTGTTATGGAGGGGACTGTTGAGGAGCGCGTGCTGGATATCCAGCTGGAGAAGCGGACGCTGGTCGGCAAGGCGTTCCAAGAGAAGAACAAGGGGAAGAAGACTCAGGAGACCCGCATGGCGGATCTGAAGAAGCTGCTTGGTTGAAGAGCGTCGAAGGAGGTCGCAGTGCTAAAGTAGTCAGAAGTCTGGCTCGTCTGAAAGTTCGATGTGCGGCAAGGCATTGCTAGAGCAACATCATGTATCCATACTTGTATTTCTCATTCAGAGCCAAAAAGGGCTTTAGACATTATTCGAGATGACTCAACCTTGCATGTATTACCGCAAAACATATGTAACAGTCCCTCCATCAACTTTAGAACCACGGAAAAAGATATTCTTAAGTTACTTGTCTGCAATCCTGGCGCTTTCACAACGGTCTACCCACCCGAGTATATTGCGAGGCCTCAGACAACTATAATACTTCCTACCTCTAATCATAACTCCTACAACTCTTCTCGCTAGTCAGGATTCGCAGAAAACTCCCAATACGAAATAGACCATAATCGCTTCGCCACCCATTTGAACTCAAAATGAGTTATGCAAACGGCACGCTTTGGCCAGATGGTTCAACCCAAGTTTCGTCCAGTCCGATCCCAATATCCAGGGGATCTCGCCGACGGAATATTCCAGATTGTCGGGACTCGAGACCGCCGCAGAGTGGTCTGTGCAAGGATGATATGAGGAGGCCAATCTACTACAGAGTACAACTCATGGGGCAGATCCGAAACTCTGAGATTCTTCTTAGCACCTTATCCACTTGGCATACTTCCCACTACATCCGTACAGATCTAAGCAATACGAGGACGGATACTCGCTTCATACGTTTGCGGTGGGCCGCAAGCTGGGCCATGGCTCAGTTGTAATGACCCTCTCTACATTGCGACCTACTCGTTCTCGGCTTCGAGTCATGAATGTAAACGGAGCTAAACGAAACCTTAAGCTAGTAGGTCTTACGGATAGGTGACACTGCATCGGGAGGGATGGGAAAGAACGTAGCGTACGGGGAAGCGTAAACACCGAGCTTGCGATTACGAGAGACTTGTACCAATTACAAGCTATTCACATTGCTTCAGGCAGATGTATTTCAGGGGTATATAACTCATCGTCATGTCTCATCCACAGAGGATGTATCCATACCACCAGCCAACAGCTCATAGCCCTTGCTTCACATCAACTCAGCAACTTCAACTGAAAACGCAAGATACTACATTCCTTCAGCTCGAAGTAGTCCTCTCTGAAACCCCAACCATATCTTCCTTCAGACCATAACCTCAAGAACAACCCAAAATGAAGTTCACCCTCCTCCTCGCCGTGGCCTCATCCCTGGCCATCGCCAGTGCCAAAACCTGCCAATGGACCCGGAAATCATGCAGTCCCAACGGCGGCCAAATCTCCATGCAAGCCTGGATCGACCACTCCCGCGAACTCTGCACGCGGATCGGCGGTTCCCCTCAAGGCATCTACAGCGACCAGGTCGTCTGTGATGCTCCAGGCACCTTTGTGCCGAGACGTCTCTCGGCGACGTTTGATGGCAAGAGTTATCAGTGCTGCATTTCTTGCCCTGGAGATGAGAGGGGGAGCTGTTAAAGAGGGAGAGCGGTTGAGAGGCTTTCAAGGTTGGAACGGATTCAAGCATTGTACACGGAGCCACCAGAGCACAGACTTGCATAAGAATTGGATCTGAAGATACCTGCCTGACTACTTATAAGCCCGATCCAGCGGCGTCTGGTCATTATAGTGATTTACTGGGAGTGATTACTGGCGAAGGCGTAGCCGTCTTCTCATGGCGGCCCGCCCGCCCGCCCACCGTCACTTTGCTCACAACCTTTCAGATATGTAGCTGGTGGTGCGGCTAGACGTCATAAAGGGGTACCTTTCCCAGCAAAAGCTCTACGCGTATCATGGAGTACTATTACTTTATCAATTTCAAGCGATACGTATATGTTAGTACATACAACATAAAGGGAATCATATGTAGAGATACATTTATAAACGGTGAGCTTTTTCACGCACATAATGCATAAAATACAACACAACTCAATAGAGCCCTCCATCCCTTGCGGCCCTACACCCCAGAAATCCTCGTTAAGTAGCCCGCGCCAATGATCTAGAAGGCGTTCCAGGTGGTGAGGGCGGATCTGGTCGCCGCCAAATGGCTCGTATCCATGCTGGAAGAGCTCGGCGACGCTGCCTGCCTCGACGAAATACCCCTCGCTCTTGCTTGTGCCAGCTAAAAACTCCTCGTTTCGAACTCTTCGTAGAGACCGGCGGGGACTCGGGATAGATTCGAGTGACTTAGAAGTGGGCTGAGCGACCCAGTGATATCAGCCTCGAGTCCCCTTTGCGCGACAGGAAAGAGGCAGATTGAGGGGATATCCAGCAGCCCCGGTCGCTGCTGCTGTGCGAAGCGCTGCGATGCTTTGGACTCAGCTGCGTCTACGGGAGGTAAGGCGAGGCCCGGAGCAACGTGGCGGAATCGAGGCCGACGCGCACGGGTCAGAAAGGCGCGTGCAAAGCCGTCTGGCACTGACGCCGTATCAAGCACAGCGGGCGTGAGTAAAGGTTCAGATTGCGACTGGCCTGTGGCGGCGTTATCGTTGCCCACGATGCGTGTCTCGATGGCGTCGCACAAGCCGTCCAATGCTGATATATATATAGCTACCTGGGCGTCGCCATATGCCCGCCATTCCCAGCGCCCGCCAATCTTTTCGCCGCCAAACTGGGAGGATGTATCGTGGGGTGTTACCTTTACCTTTCCCAGGCGTAGCGTACGAGATAGTTGTGCAGAGATGGGCATCGCTCGTGACCCATTCTTGATACGTCGGCTGTCGAAGGGTTGTTCTGCTGTTACCATCAAGTCGTCGATATTGGGGAGTCGCAGTCCGCTCATGGCGATATGAATCGGGCCGAAGTTACTGTCCGCGTAATTGGCGGTTATATGTGCTCCTGTATTTGACGAGGATGAACAACGTTGCAATAAACTAGGTTTCTCCATTCTGATATACTCCCGTATTCCCCTCCATCAAGTCTGGAGGTGTGACGACATCTCGGTAGGGTGGTAGGTAACCCCGTCCTTGCATGCCAAAGATGGCTACGTACCGCCAGCCTCCTACCCGATTGGGAGACAAGCTCTGTCGTGTGTGGGCCAAGATCGGCCGGCCGGAGGCGGGAGGCCCGTGCTCACCGGGGACGACTCCGGGATGGGTTTGGCGGAGACGGGGGCTTCGACATTTGCCAGGATCGGGATGCTGGACTGTATGCCACGCCGAAGGCTGTCTAAACAGAGAACTTTCCATATTGCGTCCCTTGTCCGCCATCTTCTGCTCTTTTTTACGTGCGGCAGATCCTTGGTCGCTAGATTTTCAATGCCAGAAGAGACGGGAACTTTCGACACATGCTTATCGGTGAATACCCAGCCATCATTTGAAGAACTTCCCCGAGAGGAGAGGAACAATTTCTCGACAAACCTTCAATTGAACACCTAGGACGTGCTGAAGCTGCCCTGCAAGTTAAATCTGTCACCAGCAGCTTCGTAGAGCAGTGGCGTGGCTCATCAGTGCTCAATAGCAGTACGGCCCACGTTGATTCATACCTCAGCATGGCTTAAGCTATATTGAACCCTCAAAGCTATTGTTAAAAACATCACCGACTACTTCTGGCACCTTCATCAGGCTCCCCAATCCCATGATGTCTGTGCGCCCAGCATTCGTTCAACAGCATCAACCTCTGCACGGAGCCCAAGCTTTCAAGGCGATCGGGAGGCCCGCTAGCAACATGGAACTTGCGCGTGAGACCCTCAGCTTTCTCATACGAAACAGACGGGGCGAATAAAGGCGTTCGTCTACATGAAACTTTGTCGGAAGCCGAGTCATGTGCAGCCGTGCCGTTCACGCGTGGGCTTGGTGACCATTCCGAGCTAAAGATCCCACCGCACAGACCATTTCTAAGGGGGCTGTCGTGAGCCTATATGAGTTTCTTCATTTTGGCAGTCGATTTAGGATTGGCTTGATGTTCATCTTGCCTCAGTGACTGCGTGAGTTTGCCGCTGGACGTCGGCTGGGGGTCCAATACGGAGGAGGTTCATCCCATCATCCATCTTGAAGTCAAAGTCTCTCTTGCAAGAATGAACAAAGTTCTCAAAGTACAAGCAAGTAAATACCACAAAATTTAAATCCAAATCAGATTATGGACAAACGGAATTCCGAGGTTTCGGAAACCCCTAGCTCCTGGCCCGTTGAAGCAGATCCCACTCCAAATACCCAGCCGAGTCGACAGCCCTATGACTCGCATCCCACCCCCCAGCCACAATGCGCAAGCGGCCACCAAGGCCACGATAATGCCTCTGCGCCCCCAAACATACCATAATAAAGCTTCATGGTACAGTACCGTAAGTATTCAACAGGGAAAACTCTAAATTGCGAGCAGAAGTTTCAATCTAAATCCACCATGTGGGATACCGAACGGCACACGTTCATCAAGGAATTTGATGCCGATCAGGCCGTGCAGTAATAATGACTTGACGGGGAAAAGAGACAAGTGGGGAGTCGTTGAAGGAATACATTAAGACGGACGACAACCGCGTCTTTATTTTCCGAGTTTCCTTCTTCATCTTCTTTACTCAACTATACCCTTCTGCAGCTGTTCATCATTCCATCCTCACAATCAAAACCGAACGAAACAAACATGCATTTCCAATCTCTCTTCGTCTTCGCAGCCGCCATCCTCGTGGGCCAGGCCGCGGCCCAGTCCCCAACAGTTAGTAGCAAGTGCACCCAGGTACCGAACTGTACCAAGGACAATGTCGGCGTAGCCTGCAAAGTCACCTGCGAGGATTCAGTAAGTACAACCCGACCGTTACCAGATCAATGGCAAAGCTTCGGGCCTTTCGCATGGGCTAATCTCTCCTATACACAGCCTGGCGGCACTCGCGTCACCTCGGGATTGTGCAAAAAGAGCCCTTTCGGATTCAGCTGCACTCCCTAAGAATGCCCATGTATACATGGACCTTGGACTTTTGACAACTACCTTATGGGGGTATAGTCACGATGCGACGACTTTGATTTCCTTGAACGAACTTTTGCATCATATTTGGGGGAGGACGACAGCATATTGGGTGGCACGGTCAGCTAGCTTGAAAGAGCGGTTGAATCCAACGACTCATGCAAGACTGGAGGGCACTCTTCAATAATACCAAAGGATGACCAAGCGGCCAGGGATGACAGGATGGCGTTGCTGGAATTTACTTCTTTCTGTAAACGATACCTCCTAAATCACCCGGCGCTACAATAGACATTCTTCGTAACCAACCTTAACGGTTCGGGTCTCACAACAAGTTCATCTCACAACAACGAGTGCTCGTATACTGAGTGTCTAGTTCATCTGAAATCCGTCTCGTGATTCAAGGTGTCACGAGTAACAATGAGGTGCGCGACAACTTCAGACAGCCGGCGGGATAACTTTATTCGCAGTCTATTAATACACCACAAGTCGGCCTTCCCGAAGCAACTTCCGCGTTGCGGGTACTCCGTGACTGCAAAGAATGGGAAGAATGGGAAAATAGAGTCAAGAGGAAAAGACAAAGGGAGAGTCCAACGCCAAACCTTCTCAACCTTCGCTATTCAAAATCGCCAAACTCTCGAGACTATGAAAATGCCTGTCAAATCCTGCATCAATACTCGCGATCAAGGCGGTTGGTACCTCGACGACAAAGGATCCGCCAAGGCGACGAGCCGACAACCATGCTTGAGTCGAGTAGAACGTGTTCAAGACTGAGCTTATGACGGACAAGCTAAGAAGACGAGTGTAAAAGAGCTAACGAATGGCCGCAAAACAAACCTCGCCGTCTGGAAGGCCTCAACGACCGGGAGTGCACTTTATAGATAAGGAAATGGACGGTCCAAGGATTCTTCCCTACAATATTTCAACCCAAGACTGACATAAAACAATTAAAGACGCCATCGTTGCTGTCTAGCGCGCGGTTGCTCCGTATTCTCCAGTGAACATCTCGTCGGTGATGATGTTGCCGTTGGCCGGGAAGACCGGGGCCTCGCACTGCAACATCTGGGTGATGACGAAGGTCGGGCTGACTCCTCCAAAGACGTCGTCCTTCATGATCTTCTTCTCGATGAAGGTGTTGATGGCCTTGACGTAGGCGTACGGGCCCACGACGACGTAGTTGTTCCAAATGAGCGCCCACATCTGAAAGTTGTTGGCCGGCTTGTTGGCCAGGGCGCTCGTGTACCGACTGGCTAGCAACTACATTTTCGACAACTACGTAGTTGTACTACGTAGGGATATGCATATCTGTGATTGAAGGGAAACTCTAGCTCCTCCAAAAAGCCGATGGCCCAACCAATGCGAGAGTACCAATTCGTGGAAGTCATTGTCTCTCGGTTCAGGAGATGGCCACACTTGCATGTAGTTATAGACGTTTAACACACATTGAATCACGATTCCGAACTCACATGCCGTTATACCGAGGCAGAAAGGTACTTTGAAAGATCCATATTTGTTTATGATCAAATTGTACACTATATACAAGAATGGCACATGACAAAAAACACCAGAAGTTACCCAAGCAATGCCCATGATTTCCTGTTCCGATGTAATTTGTTTTTTTCCCCACTCGCAAAAAAGAACACCATTGAACCCGGCCGTGATGTATGTGTTGTCACCAAACCCCAAAATTTTTTTCCACCCCCTAGTTGAAGATAAATGATGCAAGCGAGGTGCATGTTGCTAAAAAAGAGCAAGACTCGTCGAAGAAAAAAGCGAAGCGAAGCGAAGGAAGTTTTTGAATCCACTGATGGAAGAAGGGGGTTTCTTTCATGTCGTCGTCATGATCACGTTCTAATGTTGTTTTGATGTCGTGATGTAGTTTGATGGAGAGGTTGGTGTGGGTCAGGAAGAAACTAAGCTTGCTTGCTTCAGTTGCTCTTCGTCAGGCTGCGGGCCTCGAGGCAGAGACCGAACTTGGTCTGGCAACCGCAAGACGGTCTGCACTGCAGAATCTTGCTGCCGCACTTGCCGGCGGCGGAGCAGCAGGAGCCGAAGGTGCTGCCCTCGCAGGTGAAGCCGGTGCTGCCACCACAGGTACCGTCGGTGGAGGGGACAAGGGCGCCAGAGGCGGGGGCAGAGGCGGAAGGAGCGGCCGGGGCGGCAACGGAGGTGGAAGCCGGAACGGGGGCGGCAGAGGTCACGGGGGCGACAGTGGCAGCGGGCGCGCTGGTAGCGATAGGGTCCTCGGCGGCGTACTCAGCCGTAGGAGTAGCGGCGGGAGCAGAGGAAGAAGCGGCAACAGCGGTCTTGGAGGGGGTGGCGGAGGCGACGGCAGCGGCGGCGGTGTTGGCGGAGCCACCGAGGAGGTTTAGGTTGACGGCAGCGGGGATGGCGCCGGGGGCGGCGACGGTCTTGGCGGTCATCTCGATGGTGGGAGGGCCCTGCCAGTTGCCGGCCGTGCACTGGGCAGAGATGCCCTTGCACATGTTGTCGTTCCAGACGTAGCAGTTGGCGGCGCCGGTCGGAGGAGCGGAGTCGAAGCACACATTGCCCTGGGCGTAGCAGGCGTCGACAGCGGCCCAGCAGCCGGTCTGGGTGGTGTAGGCTTCGGGAGCCTTACCGCACCAGTTGGCGTTCTTGATCAGGCAGTCAGAGGGAACGCCGCCCTCGAAGGAGGTGGACTTTGCGCTGGCGGAAGCGGTGCCGACGGGGCTGTAGGGCTCGGGGCCGGGGATGGGGTAGGGGTACTGCGGGTTGTCGTAGAGGTTGAAGTTGTTGCCGGCCTCGGAGCCGTCAATGTAGCCGGGGATGCTGACGGAGTACTGGGAGGGGATCTCGAGAGCGCCGGAGGGGCCATCGGAGACATGGATCTGGGCGCAGCCGACGTAGTACTGGGGGTCGTGAAGGCTGACGGCCTGGTGGAGGGCGAGGATCTCGGTGCGGACGAGGTAGTAACCAGCGGGAAGGCCAGAGGGGAGCTCGACGGTCAAAAGACCCTTGTTGGCGATGAGCTTGTCGGTGCACCACTGCTGAGTGGACTCATCGTAGCCCTCGTCCCAGATCTTGAACCAGTTGGGGCCAGCGGCGGCGGTGGTCATGTCGTCAACCTTCTTGACGTAGACGGAGCAGGGACCCCTGTGGGAAGGGTCGATGGAGCCCTCGGCACGGGCATCGGGCCACTGGCGGAACTCAAAGGTGAGCTTGGAGTTGCCGGGGGCAGCGCAGGTGTAAGCGGCAGCGATCTGGCCGTCCTTGCCTGTGTGTGATGTCAGTAAATATGAATATCAACGTGAGCAGCGCCCAAGCTTGTTGTTGCTGGACGGAGGCATGGTAGTAGCTTACCGCAAGCCATGTCGTCGCTAGTCAGACCGGCAACGGGGGAGGTGGCGGTGTCTCCCTCCTTGGGCATACGGATGCAGGTAGCATCACCCTGGGACTCGCCGTTGATGTACAGCTTGGACATGAGGGTGTGGGCGTTGGCAGCGGCAGCCATGGCCAGGGCAGTGGTGAAGAACTTCATTTTGATGGGTTGAAAGTTGGGTATCCTGAGATGAGATGTTGCGTTTTTTGTGCAAGAAAGAACGTCGAGGTCCGAAAAAGATGGGTTTCTGTGTACAGCTGAGAGCAGGCCTGCTGAAGAAAGTCGAAATCGAAGATATCGAATGAAGGACTGAAATGTAGTTGGTGGTTTTGTTGCTTTGGTGTAAGCGCTTGGCTTTGCCTTGTTCAAGGAGTGGAACTGTTCAACAGTGACTTCGTGCTAGACGAGAGAGACTGAAGGAGCAAACGAACTGACGAAGAGTTGTTTGGCTCTGGTGGGTATAATGAATGTAAAGTTCGTTCAAGAAAGAGGACGAACAAGAAGGGAGTGTGGTATCAGCGGCCAGCTGTGTACAGAACGCGATGGGGGTCAAGAAACAAAAAGAGGGAGCGGCCCGATATCGAGGGCACCGAGATGGATTTATATCAACCAACCAACGGTCCATAACCCCAGCGGTCCATGACAGGGCGAGCCGCGAGAGAGGGTCGGGCTACTGCGTAGCAAGGAGGGAGGGCGGCAGCGGTTTGCACAGTTGCACTATGGATGCTCCATAGTGCCCTTGACCCTCTCCGAGGCTCCGTCATCCTGTTGGAAGTAGCACTAGCTGGGGGCGGAAGCGAATAGTGGCACTCTTGTTCAGCAAGAAGCTCAACCGCTTTGCACGCCCCCCCTTTAGACGTGCAGCTCCGCTCCTGCAAGGCCATAGACACCCCTGGTTTGGTTGCTTTCTCCATCTCTCATCTCGGGCGGCCTGGTACCTTGCAGTAGGCAACGGGCAGCAAGTTGGCTGTTGGCAACCACCCCCACTCGCCTTGCCCACTACTTCAGTGTCCGTATTACAGAGAGTTCTGTGACTTCTGTCTTTCTCGTCACCTTACTATCTGTGCCTCTTCCGCGCCGCCATGTTGCCCCCAGTTCCCGTCTTGCAGGTTACATTGGGTGGTGCGCTAGCGCGGTCATGCTGCCGAAAAAGGCATGCTTCAAGACAAATTGCCGCCGCCGGGTTGGTGGAGTTCCCACAGGACAGCCGGAAGGTATACGGGATCTGCCTTGGAGGATTGCCTCTGTTCAGTCTCTTTCTGCCTGCCTAAGCTAGCCATGGGGTGTCAGATCATGGTGCCGGGGGCGAGGGGGCGAGGGGGCACAGCAGCGAGATACCGTGAAGAGAGAGAGACAGATACGGGTGTGCGTGTGTGTGGTGGTGAGATGATTCTGCCCGAGAGGAGCGAAGTGTGAATAGCGAGAGAGAGAAGAAAAACAGTCTGACCAACAGGAAAGAAGCCTGGGCCCTTGCCAAGAGAAAAACCACTGACAAACAGAGAGGAAGTTCATATTGCAGGGACTCGTGGCGTGCGTTAGTGGGGACAACGGAGATGGGAAGATGAAACAGAAGTGGGCGGCGCTACTGGGGGCACTTGGGGGTACGTATCGCTGGTATCTCACTTCCTTCCCATCTTGCCATCCATCCCATCGTCCCTTCCATGGATTTCATCCCATCCTTCCAATCCATGATCCATCCCTCTTGCCCTCGTCGTCCGAACCCGCCCCGCCCTATTGGCTACGTACCTAGCCATGGTGACTGTCTAGTTCCATTGCCGTCGCCTTCGGGGAATTACTGCGTAGGATTTTCCAAGGCACAGAGAGCAAACAAGACCAAGTGATCGACCAAGAGCCGAACAACGAATTAGACGCGCGGTGTTATCATACCATACCACAGGATCAGAGAGGCATTTCCCTCAACCCTGGGTCCGTGGTTTGCGGGACCGAATGGATAGCCGCGTCCACTTCTCTCTCCTCCCCGAGTGCCCGAGTCCCCCGACAACGCGCACAGTCTGGACTCTAGGGACTTGCAACGCCCCTTCTGGAGTCTGCCCACTGAATACCAAGACCGGATCATCGTCATGGAAGGAAGAAGAAGCCCGGTAGCTGCAGTTGGAGGCAGGCATTGTCACGCTAGAATCTCCCACCAAACGATGTACTGTGCTGATACGGATACGTGTGTGTACACAAATGCCTCTGACCTCAGCAGAGAGCGAGCAATGGAAACGCGCAGAGCCGAAAGTTCAGACGCCGTTTTAAGATTCGTCGATCTCCCCTGGCACTAAACCATTTCGGCCCATCTCGAAAAGCCGAATAGGTGCAGATTCGCGTGAGACGCGCGGGGTTCAGGAGAATGAGGGGGGACTTACTCGAGTCAATACGGATACCGTCAATCAACTCCCGCGAGTGTGACTACAGGAGATAACCGTACCTCACTGTGATACCTCAGAGGCGAACCGGAACGTAAAATCTAGGGGCACCCAGGGGCTCGGGAGGGAGGCTGTCATCAGCTAGATAACTCGCACTTCAGCTTTTAAACTCGTGTTTAGTTCCGCCTCCGCCGCCACAAGTTCGGCCGTTTGACCAAGACACCAACGACACTTTGTCTCGAAAAGGTGAAGAAGGCAGACTGGGCTGGGCTGGGCCGGCTAGCTTGCCCGTCTTTCTGATGTCTATCGCCCGAGAGGTTTCGCTTGGCTGCGTCGATTGATCGTCTCGTTGACTGATTGGCGCAAGGGGTAGCGGGAACAATTTGGAGAAGGGGGTTGGAAAGTGCTTGTGTTAACGCGGAAGGGGGAAAGAAGAAACAATCTTGTCACTTGAGATCTTAGTCTGAAAAAGAATCGAAAAAATGAGACGAACCGTGATTGAGGCGAGACAAGTCAATCAACTCCTGACTTGCCTCCTGTCGGGCACGCACACCAAACGCTGCTGTGCATACCTTACAGAGTGCATCGAATGTCTGCTGAGATGCATTAGCTAATCCATTGAAGCACCAGCGAAGGGGTTCTGGAATGACACCGA